TTTGAGAGCAAAACTCTTTAAGAATTGTTACGACGGTATTATTTCCAGAGGACATTGACAATTATTCTTGGACAATCGCTCTCGACCAGCCAGAATATCCGAATAGGCTCCCGTCCATACAAATAAAGGCTAAGTAAAGATTTCAGAATTGTCGAGATTTAAAAATTTCTCGACGAAATCTTCGAAAAACACGCTTTCCAAAGCGATTTCTCGAATATATTCACGCTCCAAATATTACACGAGATATGGTTGCGGATTTTGCAACGACAATTTTTATTGTTATCGCGCGTAGAATCGTAAACCTAGAAATGTAAATCCAACAGGATTGCCATCATCGCGTACGTTCGACAGTAAATCTATATATCTAAATGTGCTTCTGTTGTTGATTATCGTTGATGGTTTCGAGAGGATAGTCAGGATAAAATTCGTTGATAAAAAGATCTTAGGAATTAATTTCACGTGAAAAAGCTACTTGCGCGTATTTGTTGTAACAATTATATATATATATCGATTAAATTCAAATCCTGTTGGATTTTTAACTTTATCATTTACAACACTTTTCGTACGATCATAAGAATTTGATAATACACGCTATGTACATAAAAATTAAAGACTCCGCGTTTATACTCGTTCCAGGTGGAAATAAATGGCGAAGTAAGAAGCTCTCGTTCGAATAGGAAAAACTGGGGAGCCCTAACGAATCTCGGTGCAACAGTTTCCTCGACACTGGATTTTGACGCAATGCGTCACATAGTTACTGTCACCACTTGACTATTCTCCGAAGAAAAAGTCGACCTAAAAAGCGCTGAATGCATATCTAGCTTCTGGCCCATCTGCCTTTTCCCTCTTTGTCTCCCTCCCTCCCTCCCTCTCTCTCTCTCTCTTAATTAATCTCTCTTAATTTCTTCCGATTCTTTACGCGCATGACGAACGAGACGAGATGAAAGGAAGCGTGAAAAGGGGAAACAGAAGAAGGAAAAGAGAGAAGAGGGGGGAGGGAGAGGGGGGAGGGAGAGAAAGGAAAGGACGAGGGAGGCGCGTAACGAATCGCGAAACAGAGCAGCAGCATTTTAATAATACACATATCTGCATGCTCTCGCGCGCGAGTGGACACGTTGCAGGCGCCAACATGCCGTGAATATTTCTCTTATTTTCCCGGCAGACGGGCCCGTGCTGTTTACTTTTCGTGTTTCAACCAGGCGGACAGCGTGCCTCGCGCTTTTCGACAAGCAGATTCGACTTCAGCGAGTCGGATACTCTTCGATCTTTATACTCGACGTAACAAGATATCAATGTAATATGATATCCCGTGAATTCTATTTGACAAAATTTTATCTCACAATCAAACGAGGTTTTCGAGGTTTCGTCGTTCGAGTGGTAAAAAGTTTTCGAATAATTCGAATATTCGATGGAATTTTTCGTTCGAATCGATATTTGCTTGATTTCTCATTGATTTCGTGTTGATCTGAAATGTAAATTGCTATTACTCGAAGAAAATTCTCGGATGGATATCAAATTTAAAACGGTGTAAGCGTTCTATTGTGGGTGAATCGAACGACGTTTGTATCGACGATACAACTTGTTAATTGAAAAATTAATAGTTTTGTCCGTCAAATTGTCCAATTATCCCATTTATTTCTCTGTTCTGTTCTATCAGTTTTTATTTTTAGGTTTCAAGTTTTTTAAAATTAATTAATGAATTAATAATAACATCTTTAATTGTTCTTGCTTCCTTATTGTTATTATATCATATTAATATTATGTCTTTTCTTCTATCCTTTCAACTAAAAATGAATTATTCGAGTGTTTCAAAATGAATAGATATTTAAGATGATAGAAAATTGTGATAAATAAAACGATACTTTTAATCAATCCTAAAAAAGGTTCATTTTAAAGAAAGAAATTTCTTTTGACGTAATACGTTCGTTTTCTAAAAGAATTTTTCATCGTACGTTACATAACGACCTATACATTTCCATACGAAATCCACTTTTTACATTATAAAATTTGTTTGTAAAAACAAAATTGAAAGAAACCTTATAAATATATCATTTATCGAAGACGATACAAATTTCTACCTCTGTTTACTTTCACGTTACAAAAACCAAAGAAAACCAAACAAAATTATTCCTCTAAAAAACCGTACACGTGCCACAAAAAGAAAAAAGAGACCATCTCGAGCGCAGAAAACGTTGAAACGGAAAAATATGTTAATATCGAGCATGGAGATGGTTCGCGACCCTTTGGTGGGGCAGCGGCCTTGAGTGGTGATTGATTCTACTCCACACCCTTTAACCCTTTGCGATCCAATCGACGTTCTCCTTATTCCAATTAATCCAATACCCTAATAACAACCCCTTCTTCAAAATCTATATCCCCATAATCCACATATTACCATATCCCTACACGCAGAGCAAATATATATATATATATATATATATACGTGTACGATATAATCTCTGTACAAAGATATCGTTTACGAAGAAACGGGTAGAAAACTTACCAGGAGAGACGGCGAGTGCGAGGAAGGCAGCGGCAGTGGCGAGGAGCAGTATCCTAATCGCGGCTCCGCCAGCCCGTCTTCTGCCCGGCCTCGGCGCAACGTGACATCCATCCCCGTGGCC